ATTAAGAACGGATGCCCCTTTGGTCAGAAATGAATATGATCTGTGTGATCAGATCAGATCGGATGCAGTCGGAAAATGGCGCTGGCCAGTGTGCACAATAAATAATTATACCAGATAGATGCAACATCGCATCAAATTTTACCCAGAAGTGTTTTAGGGCCTATTGCATTTCGAGAGCAAAGAAAAGAATATGTGAACCCCTATTGTCACACGACTTTTAATAGCCTTCTGATTAGTTGTTGGCCACGATTTAAAATTCATGAATCTGATCATGACTCAGAAGCTCAAACATGTTTGATATGTTTATTCATTTCAAGAAACATTTACCACTGGGGCAATAAAGTATCATCTTATCATTTATCTTATCACCCATCATAAAATTGTTCCTCAGGATGGTAGCTTTTCCCTATCCATGAAAGAAAGTTTAGCCGCTCTCAAAGGTAACAAACTCACTTACTTGAATTATAATATCTTAGAACACGCAATGTCATGGACGCCGCACTTTGCGCTCTTTAAAAACTCCACGACGAAGCACCACATGCGTTCAAATGAAGGAAAAAACATTTGTGAGTGGTACCTTTTCATCCTTACCCTTCCCTTGGTTCCAAATTGAATTTAAACGATGTGCACTCTCTATGAATTGGATTTACGTCAGAGAGCACGGTCTAGATTATAAAACAAGTCTATGATCAGATTAACGAAAATCAAAATTTTAATAAGACACTTTCAAACCTGCTCCCACCGCTACTTGTATGTATGTATAGTATAAGGTTTTACGGCGCTCGCAACTGCTAAGGTCATATGAGCGCGCGAAACACAAGTTGTTCACCTCTGCGAAAGTTCACTTCACGACTGGCTAACTAATTTACTTTAAAATGCTAAAAAGTTAAAATATTCAAATTCGGTGTAAATACATTTGTGATCTAAAAACCGCTACTTGTCCAAGACAATCACCCTGTAAAAAACCATCACTTTCTACTAGTCTACTAAGTTTTTAAAATACACAATGGCACTGTCCAATACGTTCACTCCTCTAAGACAATAACTTTTTCCTCAACAATTAAAGGCTGTTTTGGATAGGTTCGGGGGTTCCTGTGGTCCAGAGGTAAGGATGTTCGCCTTTCATTCAATAGGTCCCGGGTTCGAATCCTGACAGCGACGGAAAATGTTCTTCTCTAAAATTTTCTCCTTTCACATCCTTTTCTGCTTTCTATGAATGTTCTGTCGTCTGCTTTCGTCTCCATTTCCTGCCCCCCACCCCTTCATCTCCTTTGCCCCATCCTTTGGGCTCCTGACTCTTTCTGCAGCCTTTCTACTGCAACTCCGTGGCTCCTTCTTACTTCTGCCTTTCAGCCACCCCCCTGATCGTATTGTAGGTAAGATCTAACACCAAGCCTTCTCGGATAAGGGCGAAAAACACGGAAGCCCGTGCACAAGTAGTGCACGTTAAAGACCCCTTCGTGGTCCAAAATCGATAAGAGTAGGCTTCGGCCGACAGCCGGGCAAAATAAAAAATTTCCTACCAACTAAAAGTTTAATGTGTCATACGGGCTCATATGATCTTATACAGTTATGAGCGCCATAAAACACTTACCAAAAAGGATAGTTTCGTTTGTATAAACAAATAGTACCAAAATGATAGCTTTTGCTTCTCCACAAAGGAAAATCTGGCTGTCTTGAAATATATCGAACCATTATATCAAACAGGGTGTCTGAGGAAAATGTGTTCAGTGTGCAGTGTGCATAAGACTCACCTGATCGGACAGTGTCTGCAGGTTGTTGTCAGAGAGGTTGAGAACCTTGAGCAGGCGACAGTTGAAGAGCGCGGGAGGTAACTCGTCCAGTCCCAGCATGCACAATTCCAGGTGAGTCAGGTTACTGGTTGGGTGGGTGCGAGTGGGTTGATGACGGGGTATTGGGGGTGGGAGGTGGTAAGAAAGGTTTGGGGAGGGGGTGTGGATGGAAGAAAAGTGGTAAGAGAAGTAAGGTAGAATATGTTGAGGGGGTGTAGAGTGTGGGGTGTTGAGGGAGGAGAAAGGAGG